TAGATCCAAATCAAAAAATGACGTAATGAAAAAGCATGAACCAAAGAAGTTTCACTAAAACACTCAAAAAACTCGAACGCATGCTGCTGCTACTAGTAGAAACCTCGAATTCTGATAGTAGTCGCCTTTAGTTATTAGGTATTATTTTATTACTGTTATCATTCTATTTCGTCATGTACTATAATGCCAAAACTTCGTCACTACTATATTGCCAAAACTTGAAAGTAGCTGTAAAAATATTGTTTTATATTTATAATAACATTACTTGCTTTCTCTAATTTGCTATTTATAAAGGTACCTTTTTTCTTTGATCTGTTCTTTTTTTTATATCGTATCGGAATATTCTACTTGTAGCTTTGTTAGATCGCGTAAACGCCTAGAATCTGTTGATTTACCCATTCTTCTCACCCTTTTTACTTTTTTTCTATATCATTCTCGGATATTTAAACAAGGCGAGTTAAAAAATGGTGAATCCGGAAAGTAAGTTATAGATAAATTTCTTTAATCTTTTTTGCAAAAGAAATTCTCAATTTGTCAATAAGATATCAATTCAATTTAGAAACGCCACCTCTTCCTGCGCGCAGGAATAAGAACAATAATAACCATATTAATAGTACTAACACATATGCTCCGTTAGACTCGGATAATGACACGATGGTTCCCAATTGGGACCATGAAGATTCGCTTAGTAAGCTGCATCATTCAATCATTCTCATTCAATCAATCATTCACATAGCATATTTTTGAATTTACAAGTTGACGGCAACATCTTTTAAAAGAAACGCAAACATTCAAATCATACCAATAATTATTATTTATTTTCTTGCATCAAGACACTGAAAATCCTACAGACAAAGATGTAAAGAATGCTTATGATATTATTGATGCTCCTGATACTACCATAAATGACGAGCTATTAATACAGATTTATCAAATTCGGGTAATTTTTTTGCATGTTTTTTAGTTTACTTGTTCTTTTACTATTTTTGATATTTTTTTGATATTTTACTAATAGGTTAACGATAACCCTACTGACAGTCCCAGACAACGTAAAGCATTAACTGTGATTGGTAAATCAAGACAGAGTTCGATAATATCAAAATTCTTGGCAGAAGAAGGTAGATTCCTTTTTTAAGATCATATGTAATATATAATTGTAATATTAATGTAATTTAAATCATAATTTAGGGTTCTCAAATTTTGATTATTCTTCGAGCATGTAAGCTAGGTGAAGGAAGCCTTTGCGTGTTTCTTTGGTTTGAATCAACACAATCTAATTTACATATTTTTTCTTATATGTGGATTTACTTTTTCCATTCTTTTTTGATTATTTTACAATATACCTTTGACTCAAGGCCTGTTGGATTAAATAACATTGGGAATACTTGCTATTTGAATTCATTATTACAAGTATGTACGATCCTATCCTACTGTTTACGATACCTGCCTTTTTGTGTTAATCTCCATCATTGATTGATTTTACCAGTACTACTTTACAATACAAGAACTGCGCGAAGCAGTGCTACAGACAGACACATACGAAAAAGAAGAGTTTGATCAAGATTGGGAAAACAAAATTATTGGAGGACGTCGAGTGACCAAGAATGAGGTTGAAAGAGCAAAAAAATGTATCTATCATTATTACCTTATAATTATGATTAAAATTGCACGCAAGCAAACACACAAGATGTTATCAAATATTACTAATTATCGGTATGATGTGTGTGTTTGCGTGTTGTGCACTGAAGCTATTTTCAATTCTAATTGATTATAATACAATAATAATAATATTTCCATCATCATCATCGAATGATGTTGAATTGTACCATTATCAGTCGTCAGTCTACTTCGGACTCTCTTTACCAATTTAATGCACACATCCGAAAAATCCATCTCACCTGATCACGAATTGGCTTATATGGCCTTAGTTAGCACTAAAAATGAAGAAGAATCTGTTAAAACAATAACAACAACGACAATATCAAAAAAGGATGAAAATTATAATTTCGCAAAAGCAACCACCACCACCACCACACCACCACTATCATC